TTTGCTTTTCCATCTTATCAAAATGCTATACTAGCTAACTTCACTCAATCAAGATGAAGCATTTACTATTCCAGGAAATTTCAGCAGCATTACTTAAAACTGTTTTTTTTTAACTACATAAGGATGTTTTGTTTAGATTTTAGATTTTATTATATAGACATTTAGAATAAATTACAGATTTCTTTGCTTGGCAAAAGTAGGCAGAATGGTACTTAAAATAATGATGCTGTATGACAACAAGACATGAAACTACCTTAAAGAGTAAACTTTTCTTTTTAATAATAGGTGTAGGTGGAAGGAAGGTAGTAAGAATTTGTGTCTTTAATATGTCTATTTGTTTTCCTTCTCTGGTGCAAATGAGTAAATAGCATTTTCTTTTTACATGCATGGAAAGAAATATTCTTCTAAATTCTGAAATAAGATTGGGTATGTATGCTTAGTGGTCCTGACAAAAATGATAGATCATACATAATTTTCTAATCTAATATCTTGGGTGCAGATGCTGGGGAAAAATAATTGCTGAATTTATGTAATCTTACCTGCACCTGCTAAACATTATGATAGTCCATTAACAAACACAAACATCTTGTCAATACTGTTAACTCAGAGTTGCTAAAATGTATTGTATTTTGATTCCCATATTAAATTTATCAACCATTGATTTATTTGTCTCAGATTTATTAAATTATTTTTAGTTTCTCGAGAGAGATTTTTCTTGTATTTGTTAGAAATAGTACAAAATAATGAAACAAGTCAAAATATTATAGACATATACACTCAGAGGCTGGCAGTAATGTCTTGGTTTCTTTTGACATTTGAAGGAAACATCTCAACAGTATATTGACAGCTATAGTTTTCTTCCAGGATGCTTCCACATGAAAAGGGAACTTTGAAGGAAATCCATTCAATGCTAATAAAAGCAGAATAGATTTTGCAATACAAGTGTTATTTCTGATTATGTTAATCTGACACACAGACTGTGTCGCCCAAAGGCCATGGCAAACTATAATCAGGCAGTCTCTAAATTAGAATAATTCTAAAATCGCTAAAAAATGCAAATGTAGTTACCAGAGTTCTTTGAAAGATTAGGTTTTTAGTAACTCAGATTTGTTTCTATCAGTCTGTATTTGAAGACCTGTGTTCGAAGATTCTCAAATCTAGCTATAAAATACCATTTTTTCCAAGTGAATTGGGCACTCACGCATTTTTTCAGATATTATTTAAGTCATGTTGCCAAAGAGTTGCTTGCAGCTAAATTTTCAATGAGTTACATTAAGCATTCTCAAAGAATTTGCAGGCACGATCGGTGTGTGTACAGGAAGGTAAGTTTATGTATGCAAACAGGTACATAGGCTAGAGTAATTGGGCGGATTGGCTAATTATGTTTCGAGGCATGTAGTTGCATATGCAGTCTACAAGCATATGCACAATTTGGTGTATGCAAATTAATGCAATCACAAATGTTGCTGGTATATTAAACCTGTATATTTAATTTTACACTTTAGGTGTCAACAATGTCACATAAGGTGGAGCTTGTGTATTCAGTAATAGTTATTTTATTACTAGACAGATCCCAAAGCCCTTGTTGAGGAAATTTAGAAGTATAAAATTTGTCAGTGGAAGAGGTTGACTTTTACGTGGTGTCATATATTTATTGTGGCATATTACTAACAAGCGCAAGAATATTTATGATGATTGCAGTGGAATCTCAAAGTTAAATGGCAGAATTTTAATAACTGCAAGTTGCAGTGATCTGGGTTTTCTTCTTGCATATCGAATTGGAAAGTAATAAATACAAGGAAGAGGGGGAAAACAAAAGTGATATATTATAGTGAAGTAACTGATTTCTTTGTTTACTGTTTGTTTTCCTGTCTAACATTTTAAAATGTAAGAATATATTGCTTTCTCTGCATATCTCAAGTAAACGGTGACAGATTATTTATATTGTAGTTAAGCAGTCTTTCTGTATCTTCATGATGTTGTGGACGTACACCAAAGATCTTAATTCAACATGATTTATATCATCACAGTAGTTTCTCAGTTATTTCTATGTCAGTAGTTTGTATGCACGCTCATTGCCTAGCTGTAAAAAGTATGAATGCAACACCTGGTGACAAAGAAATAGTCAACAGCACCAAATTTGATGCAATTAAATAATGGTGAAAGGAAATGTTTGAGTACATAAGTAAAAGGCATTATTACTATATTTTATGAAATGCACGTGTCTGTTGGGCAGCTCTGATAATACAGAATCTCGTTTCTGCATCATCGTACTAAAGCTTCTGAACAGATGTTTGTTCCAAAGCATTTCCATGACCAGGTACCTCTGGATCGATACCTTCAATATATCATTATTTATAATTTATTTATCATTATACGTTCCATTCCACGTTTTGAAAAATTCAGATATTTCTGTTTTGTAGAAAAATATTATTAGTTATATAGAAACAAAGATTTTGGGAAGAGTGATCTGCTGAAGGTCTCAGGTGTGTTCTGTGTGTAAAAGGAAACCTGACTCTCTTCCCCCTAAATGAGTACCCTGGGACAGCCTGCATTTAAAAGCCTAACAAAGCGGAGGTTGATTGAGAGAAGGTAATCTATCTGACTACATAAAATATTTTTCCGTTTTATTCATACCGCTCTGCTGGTTGTCACAGACCTGTTATCTGTGTCCTGAGCGTGTTCTATATCCACCTCACTTGTGGACCTTCCTGAGACACTTCATTCTCTTTTCCGTCTTTAAAGTGATTCTTCTTATCCGTTGTTCTCCATCTAAAAGGACTTTTTTCTCCCATCACACCTCTCCCTCTTCCTTTTCTTGTCTTTAAACTTCACTGAGGGCATATACGAGGATGCAGGTATGCTAAAACCCTGTAATCACCACTAGTCCTTTCTTTGACACTTTTTAAGCCCCTGTACGTGTCTCAAATCTTGCTTTCAGTTTCTGATTTTTGCTGGTATCAATGGGGTTCCCTGTTGATGTCTGGAACATTCGCAATTGATTTATGCAATGTTTTAAAGTTACTGTATCTCAGGTAAACAGATATTGTATCACATTGATAGTTGGGGCTCTGATCCTGTCAGTAAGCTCAGGCTATTGAGGCACTTCTGGGAAAACTGTGAGCTGTAATAGTAAGAAAAAGTAAGAGAAGAAAGCAGCCATCTAAATAGTCTAATTACACTGGAGCTCATGTGGATGATTGGAAAACTCTCAGTAAAGTGAGAGGAGCAGTGGTAGTCAGATTGTTACTATATATTATACATAAGCAAAGGTACCGTTCAACTTTGCTTTTCTTTGCTATCATAGAAATGAAATGATTTGTACATAGTCTTCAAATGATGCGACTCAGCAGAAAGGATTGTTATTTATTATTAATTAGGGTGGTGGTATTTCTTTTTTTAATACTTCCTGATGGACATAAAAACTTCCTGTGTGCATATTTTAGCACTCATGCTACATGTAATTGAAGCTACTACTGGCTTTTCCAGCAGTAACTCATAATTCCTGTGTACATTGCAGGTTCCTGTTCACACTGTAAAAAGTCTGTGCAGTTCAAAATTTCACCACACAACATAGTCCGAATGTAAACTTCCATAACTTACGCGATTTGGTTTTTTCTTCTTAAAGACCACGTTTACAGCCAAAATTATGAACAGCATAAAAACATTAGCATAGCTGAGAAATGGGGTTTTGGTTTTGATCATTACTGGTTTACTGTTAGGTGTATGCTTTCAGCCTTTTACTCTGCACATCATAAAACCAGAGGATGAGGAGTTTATTTTTGTTTCTTTTTGTTACTCCAGACAAGTTCTTCTCAAACAGTGATTCACGACTAATTACCAAAATAGTTCTTGATCATCTGTAGGTGAACCAAGCTGAAGGAGTTTTGCTTCACTAAAGAAGATTGGTTTTATAAGATAAATTTGAACATTTACTACTTGAATGTGTCCTGATAAGTCATTGCTGTATTCTAAGCATACTCATTTTTAGATTCCTCATTAAGATTCCAAGCATAAAACACAATTTAAAAATCATGCATTTTTATTATATTTTCTTATGTATATAGAAACAACTATATATATAAAGCATATTGTAGGTCAGGCTATGAATCAGGCAGCTCTCATAAAACAGATGTTTCAGGATACAATGCCTGCTAAATGCTTTCATAGTTGCAAAAAGCAATTGGAAAAATTCACGAATAAAAATCAGTTCGAAACTATGTAGAGAAAATATGTTTGTTTGAGGATGGCCGTATGCCACAAGTTACAGAAGGCTAGGAGAGTATTGGGAGGAAGCATTAGTAACTTATTTTAGACTTACAGTCTGACCCTTTTGGTCTGGGTTAAAATGATCCATCTAGCTATATCTCTATCTGTTTGTATAAGCGTACACATATACACTTATGCAGATCAATTCTGTGCTCCAGTGGATTACCTTTTTATTTTCCTTTGAGCTTTACATTGGGTGATAGAGTCTAAATTTTATGAAATATAAGCTGTGAAAGACAGTGGTCAAAGTGGGCCAAACAGTACTCTGAAGGACCACCTACCTGTTTCTATAGAAATATTTATGATATAATTTCTAATAGTTAAACGTTACCTCCTTAAACACCAGTATTAATACAACAGCTTCATTCATACTGTTTAATAACAACAAAAAAAATTGAATACGACAGAAGTCAGACATCTTTCACTGATCAATAAGTGTAACAGTCACCAAAGCATCAGTTAATCGTGTTTTGTTTTGTTTTGTTTTGTTTTTCCTAGTATGATGTCTTAGAAAGTGAAATAATATGCAGGTATCAAGTATCACTACAGTGAGTAATGTACAAAGGTGAGCAAGTGTATACCAAAGACTGTGGCAGCTCTTTACTCAGAAGAAAACTTTATGCCTGAAATTATGTATGGCTTACTGTTTGTAAAGGCTCATTAAAGTACCCTGAATATGTTCTATTTTTACTACTGCTTATCAGAATTACATACTTTTTGTTTACTTACAGTATGAAAGAGGCTGGTTTAGGCCATAAACAGTGGAGGGGTGGTCCCATTTCATCAAACTGCAAGCAGTGTCCAGTAGTTTATACCAATCCTGTTTGTGGATCAGATGGTCACACTTATTCTTCTCAGGTAAGAATTAAATAAAGAACTAAATTATTCTTTCATTGTTCCAGTCATTTCCAGCTCTTGGAAAATAAAATACTGTATTGTAAGACAAATCAACATTTATTTGTTTTAACTAAAATATATATTATAGACTGCAGCCTACAGCAATTCTAGTGTATCGTAAGACAGAAAATCAAAATGGTAGCAAATCCAAAGCAGCATGAAACAGTAGTACCCAAAGAAGCACAGTGTAAGAGTGCTCCACCATATAATGGAGCTCCAGGTTAAGTCTTTCTGTGACAGACCAAGGCAGGGTTTTGAGTAAGGAAAAAAGTGTTGCGTGTCCCCAATTTGGGGTAGGTTAAACATGTTAAGTCAGATTTTTCAAGTTGACCATCAAGGGAATACTTCACGTTCCAAGCACCTAGTCATAGATGTAACATACCCAGATAAAAAAATGTAATATTGTAAACAATTGTTGTATATCTTTCCTTCTTGGAACAGTGTTTTATGTATTTCAAGACCATAATCAAGCGTTCTTCTGTATTCTTGAACCCTCCTATCTTTTCTGTCATATTTATTTGGAGACAGAACAGTAATTAAAAAAATGTTAGCGTCAGTTTACCAAGCCTTTTTTGGAGAAAAGATTTTGTGCTGGTCATGCTGAAGTCCAGAAACTATGGGTCTGCATTAGTACAGTGCTCAGGTGAAACTTGTGAGATGGAGGGACTTCATAATGCTGAAAACAAATCAATTTGTTTAACATCCCCTCTGTGTTTGTTACTTACAAAGAAATAATAAAGAAAAAAATTCCATGTAGCATTTTAAGCAAAATATTGTTAGTATATTTCCCAGTATTTAAAGATTTTAGAGTTAGTGTTTCCTGTATTGAATTTTCTTTTGGGTTTTTTTGCTGCAATCCCAAACTACATCTGAATTTTACAAAAAAGGATTTGAGTTTACAGGAGTGACTGGCTATTGGATTGAACACTAAGTATCCTCTCCAAGAATGTTTTCTTCTCCATAAAATGAAAACATCAGAATATAACTAGTGCTTCCTCAACCTTGACAATTCTTATGCTTTTATCCTAAGTCTTACATTAGGAAATGTTTCGTTTACAAACTGAATATTTAGTTATAGGGAACTGGTCAAGAATCTTATTTTTCCTTTTAAAAGAAAAAATTAAAACAGTTTATGGCTCTTAGACCAGGATATCTGAGGCCCTACACATGACTTTTGGACTCTGGCTTGGCAGAAAAAGGATTCCCTTCCAGTGATGATATGTCTTAAAGTTTTAATTTAGGAATTTGAAAATAGTCTTACTTTCATTCACAGTAATCTCCTGCCTATGTTCTATCAAGGGCTTGAAATGTGCTTGCATTTTCCTGGCCATTAGATGATACTGTCATTTAGCATTTCTTTTGCTGTGCCATGTGAAGGTTCAGTGACTCTGAAGTCCCAAACCTAGCCTGCATACAGGTATGAAACAGATGGTGGTCTCTATGATTTTGCAGTTTAAGTAGACAAGGTAGATATAGGTAATACTGAATAAGCAACTTTTTTTTTTTTTTTAAATACTGTATACTTTATCTGTTACAATGTCTCCCTGCATTCTTCCTAATGGAATATAAACATCACAGCCAGTTGCTAATTGTGATAACCTCATCACTTATTTCCTATTTTATTGTATAGGAATGTTGTATTCTAAATAGTCCTGTAGACAGAAGTGACTCTTATGGCCTCTCTTGGTCTGATCTGTAGATCTACAGAAGTCTATAAATGGTAAGAGACGCAGGTATTTTTACATCAGTTCATATGATAAAGGTGAGGGTGTGCTTCTCAAATCCAATGACGAGAAATTAGTGGATTAAATAGATACACTGTGCTTCCCTTTCTGTGCATTATCAGAGCTGCAGTCAGGGCAATAGCACATATTATCCAACCTCTGTGCCCCTTACATGCATGTAATACAGAAGTAATGTAGCATCAGTGAGCTTTTGCAGGGTTTTCTTCTTGTCTTCCACTATGTCATAATGGTAGATTTCAAATCTAAGTTTATGGCATCAAAACACTAAAAATAAGTTAATGACCATAGAAGATTTGTATTACCTATAAATATTTATTTTTAATTTATTTTCAATGATATTATGCTTTCATATTCTGTAGAGCGGTTGCATCAAAATAGAGGTCCTTCCAAGGTTATTTCAGGAGCGATTGCTTTAAAAATTGACATAAAGACAAATATTTGTGTTCCTTTACTCCAGGCAAAGTTTCATGGTATCATCAAGCTCTAGTAGGAGTTTATATAGGAATTTTCCTGTGTTTGGAATGTATTTGTCAATGACTGTGGCAAATGGTAGAATACCTTTTCTGAAAATAAGTCAGTAAATAGTAATATTATTGTAGAACACAGCCAGGCAGCTGGGAGTTATGGGATGGATGATACTTTGGGAATATACACCTCCCTTTTCAGGCCAAATCCACGTAAATGTTTATATTAAATTATGTGACTATAGATATTTCATACATATTTGTTGCTTTGGGGAAAAAGAAAAAATATATATATAATGGGTAGACAATGTAGAAAGAAAGGTTCACTTCTAAACTGAGCTTATCCAGAGTCACGTAAGGATGTTTTGCTTCCCATTCATTTTAGCAGGCCAGGTTAGGTTTACTGTGTTCTTAGCCCACAATTAGTTGCATACAGTCAGTGTAAAGGAAAAGTAGCAGGTGTAAGATATTAATTACTAGCATTACAGGAATGTTGAAATAAAAATACGTGCTGAAATGTTGAATAGTCAAAGTGAACATTATTATGTGAGAATAAATTCAGTATAAAGAGATCCTGCTGTTTCTGTACCAGGGTGGTGTTACAAACAATTTTTAGTTAATAGCCTTTAAGTAATACTGCATGCATTTTACACTTCATTAGTCTAGTCTTACCTTCTGCATTTCTGTAAACTTTGGTGCTTAAAAGTGCATTATTCATTTTAACTCTAGGAATTCTCAAGCAGCGCTGTAGCATAGGGCTAATAGGGTGTATTTTTTTATGAAATATCTTTTTTTCTCCTGTCTATGAAAACTTCATGTGATTGATGACGTCCCTATAGGTGTAAATAGCAATAAAAATCATCTTTTGCAAAAATAATGGGTCTAAACTAGCTTTTTAGACTAAGATAGAAAAGGTGTAAAAAAGCAAACAGTCAGAAAAGAGGATACGAATTCTTAATATACTTTACAGATAAGTAGGTGTGTGGATTTAGATTTTTTTTTAATCTCAAAATACTTTCTTCAGCCTCCTGAATTATGATTCCTTTCTCATTAGAAGGGTGAAAGAGAGCTAGTGGATAAAATCACACTGTGTGTGGAGGGTTGCTTACTGTATCCAAATGTTTATAATTTTATGTGAACCTAAATTCCTAGATTTTTATTTGCAGGCTATCCCGTATTTAACATTTTTCTTTTTAAAATTGTTACTGCCTTTATTCATTTCAGGTGTTTGTGACACTTATACTTAATAGTCTGTATCTCTTAAAAGTGTGTGTGGTATAAGACAGCTTGTTTGGAGGAAGCCTAAAAAATAAGTATCAACATTTTTTATCTTTGTTGTTTTAAACTTTGTTCTATTATAAACATTAAATTGATGTAAATTTCTTTATTGGTTCATTGTGAGTTTTCGGGTTACATGCCTTACCTGTTAACAGTTCCTTTCTACTTCAGAAAAGTTTGCTAGAAATAGATTTATTATTACAAAATAGATGCCTATACTGTAATAGTAAATGAAAGTGATTTTCACAAACCTGATTCAATGTATGTCTGTCTTTTTAAATTGGGCTAATCCATTATGCCCTTCAGTTTTTATCTGCATTGTTACTAAGCAATCTGCTGTAGACTTAACTGTCAGTTGAAACGTAGCCAAAAATAATAAGGTTAAATCATTGCCTGCCATCTTTAGTAATAAAATAATATAATCTCTCTGAAATAAATTATTTGACAGCATGCTGGTCCGTGGTTTTGCAGCTGGAAGAAGCAGCTTCTTCCAGGCGCTCTGTTAGCACCAGTTTGTTTTCTAATAAAAGTTGGGTTTTGTCAAAAAGGACCTTGCAAAAATTAAGATTCAAGTCTCTCTCTATTTCCTAAGCAAGACCCAACCAAAATCACCATGTTGAGGTGGATATCGTTAAAACCTTCTACAGACCAAATCTACATTGGACTGTTACAATGAAGGCTTGTGGCTGAGGTACATTGTCAAATGAAACAAGGTTGTTGGCAAATGAAAAAACTAAACAAAAAAACCAACAAACTATGACCAGCCCTCCTTCTGGTCCGTCCCCTCCCCAACCCACCAAAAACGCAAACAAAAAAGCTGTAACAAACCCTTCTTGAATGAGACTGACTGGTAGTCAGTGGGATAAAATGTATCTTGCTTGATTGATCCAAGGAGTATACTTTATTAGGATAAACTGATCTAAACTGATCTTTACAGAGATACTCGAAACTTCTTGTTTATTGTTTAAATGCTTGAAAAAGGCTAATAAAAAATTCAGGAAATAGTATTGTCTGGTTTTCCAGCTTCCGCCATCAATGGCTTTTGCCAGTAATGCCAGAAATTTTATCTGGAGCCTTTAAATTGATAGGTTGTGGTATTGAAAAAAATGTAGAGAAACATTAGAAGGGTGACTTATTTTCCAAATAGGCTGATGTACTAAAAAAATCCAAATTATATATATTACTGATCTCTTTTTATCAATTGCATTCAAAATAAATAGCTGCTAAAGCTGTAGAGAATGGTGATGGTAGCTTAGATGACAAATTATAGAACCTTCAATAGTTTGAAATTCTGAGCAGCTCGATATTTTTTAGACTAGGATGATGTATTTATAATAGCAAGAATTGAATTTGGCTCAGTTTTTCATTTCCAGAATACTGTGGTTTTTTAACATAAAATTACATATTGGATTTACATAAACTTTAATGCTTCAATGAAAATAAAAATAAAAAAAATGCTACTTTATGGACTGGA